CGTCAGGCTGGTTTCTGCCAGGCGTGTGTGTGGGTTTGTGTCCCAGGAGTAGGCATGCATGCCAATTTCGACATGCCGTTCCCCTCATTCACCCAGGTCCTCACCCTCTCTGACAGTGCTCCCCTCTCCTTTTCCTGTTTGCTGAGTCCCTGGAAGAGTCTGAACTGGTGACCCCCGAGAGTTCCCATCTTCTTGTGACCCCCTCACACCTACCTTTTCAAATCCTGCTCTCGGGGAGGCGTTTCATTTCGATCACTAATATATTCAGTGGAACGCAAGTCTGTGTTCCTGTCTCCCAAATATGGCTTTTCTTTAATCCTCCACTCAAACTCCAGTAAAGCAAGTGGGTTTGGGTCTTCCCGTTGCTTTCACGGGAGCAGTGTGTCTTTTCCCTCCCCCCAAGGCTGCTCTAGATAGAAATGCTCAGTGGACATCCTACCCCTTCGGTTTAGGAATCTACGAATGAGAAAAGTATCCGGTAAAGGAGTCTGCCCCCTTCCCGAATCTCAACATCCCCCAGGTTCCCAAGGCAGAGCAGAGAGGCCCCACCCTGTGTGGGCCCAGGGTCCGTGGAGCCCTGAGTCTGGCTGCCTGTGGCCTGGGGTCCACGGGCCCCTCCCCTCCCTCTGTCCAGCTCTGCTTGCAGCAAGCGTGGGTGTGGAGGTCGGGGGCTGGCCCATCGTGGGCATGCGTCTCATGCTCACAGTTCCGGGGCCTGGAAGTCCAAGACCAAGGTGGCCTCAGTGGGTTCTGCGAAGGAGCCCTCCCCTCTCACTGTGTCTTCATGGGGTGGAAGGACAACAGAGTGGTCCCCAGTGTCTCCCTCTTCCCAGAATGGTCCCTGCAAGGGCCCTGCCACCCTCAGGACCTCATCGGGCTCTGAGCACCTCCCAAGGCCCACTTGTGAACACCATACCATTGGGAGTTGGGGCTCCGGCATGTGGTTCGGGGAAGGCTCGAACATTCAGGGCACAGCAGGAGGCCAGCATGCTGGTGCCGTGTGGGGTCCAAATGTTCTCCGTCCTCTGGGAGGTGGGCCAGCCTGGGTCTCTGACCCAGGACCGTCTTCCTCGCTCTCGTCCCAAACTGTGTGCCCCCTGGGACAGCCCGCCTGCATCCCCACCCCACCCCCCACAGCCCCCCACCAGATGAGCTCCTGCACAACCAACACGAACCTGAGGAAATCACCTCCAAGGGGATCTGTAGGCTTTCAGACACAGGCTCACCTTCATGTGGCCAAACCACGCAGGAGGAAAAGTCACTCTCCAGATAGAGAAGACAGCCTTGCAGGACGGATGTCAGGCTGTTACACGGTCCCCGGTTGTGTGGTGGGAGGACTTGTTTTCTTCCTGAGACTGGAAGCTGACAGCTTCTGGGGACAGTTCTTAATTAAGTCCCTTTGTGTGCAAACCCGTCCTCTGACAGACGATGAAAAGACAAAGAACAACAAAGAAATCTCTCTGAAGGGCCCAGGAGGCAGAGGCTCTGCTGGCAGCTTGGCGAGGGGGGCTGGGAGGTGCCTGCAGCCTGACTGCGTTAGGTGGGCATGTGAGGGGCACACAGGGGCTGGAGGGGGGCCCGGCCTGCCCTCAGGGGGTGGGGAACGTCACACCACACATGGAGCAGGCTGCTGGGCAGGTGTCTCCTGTCCCTGGGGAACTGGCTGCTGCTGTCGGTTTGGAGACAAAATCCTGAGATGCCTGGAGCCAGTTTGATGAGACAGTTTCGGGTCAGGAACTCGGAGCAGGGCTGGGGAAAGACTTGAGTTTGTGGTGGCTGATGGAAGGAAAGCTGTGACCTGCATAGAATCTTCCAGATTTCCTGCAGGTGCTCAGGGGGCATTGGCGAAAGTGGACGTACCCATAAAGACAGTACCTGAACAGCCAGTTGTTGGTCCGGACCACCCTGGGCTCGGGCGGCCGCCCCAGTTGGCTGTGGGGATCCTTGGCGGTCCTCCAGCCCCGCTGGGGGTTTGCTCCATGAAACAGCGGTGCCGAGGGCCTGGCTACCACTTTTCCCTCCAGCTCCCAAATCACACAGCCCCAGGTCATTGGAAGCCAGCGGCGGACACCAAAGGGGCTTGGTGACTTCCCTTCAAGTGCTTTCAGCTCAGCGTGGCACTGGGCACTTTCTGGAAGCCAGGCACAGCAGCTGGAAAGGACGCTTTCGCCATCTGGTGACAAAACCTAGACAATGACTTTGGGAGGCTGCTTGTTTTCCAGGGCCAAGCACGGGGCAGGGGGGGGCGTTTGGTTCAGGGTGTTTGTAGGCGTGGGGTCCCGGGAGCAGCAGCACAGCCGGGTGGAGGGTGCGGGGCCCGCCCCGGAGTGGGTCTCCCCCAGGTGCTACGTGAACCGCCCCCTGAGGGGATGTCATGTCATTCGTCACAACATGCTGTGCAGTTGACGTTTGGCCTCGAGTCTTCCTTGTCTCCCCGGTGCCCTGCTCAGTCCCTGGGACAGGGACAGGGCTCTGGCCCTTGCTGAAAAAGGGTGGAAGTGGGCACCACCATCTGGCCTCTGGACCGTGATGAACAGACAGCACAGAGGGTCTCACTCTCACGCCCCCTTCGGAGGAGCCACGTCCCCTTTACCCAAAGGGGTGCCTGACCCCGGCGCCCTGCGGGCGCCTGGAGGATGGAGCTTTCCCTCGAGCGCCACGTGCCCAGGTTCGATTGGTCCCGAACCTGGATTTGTGACTGGAAAACCACCAGGAATGATACTTCCGTGGTAAGGCGCGCTGTGTAAAAGGCAGGTTGCAATTGGCTGTCGAGAGGTACTGTTATCTTTAGGCTCACCCCCAGGTAATCTTCTTTGGGGGATATGGAAAGTTTGGAGGTGAGAAAAGGCTATTTCCCTGACTCCCTAGACCCTAGTGTGCTTTGGGAGCCCCTGCCACTGTGTCCAAGGACCCCGTGGCACCTGGGTGCGCTCCCCGAAGTGTCCGGAGGCCTTCTGCTCTTGAGCTGGGTGGTGAGGACTCCTCAGTGTGGGGTGTACTCAGACCTGGGGGCTATGGTGGGACCAGCCGTTTGGGATCTAAGCAGGTCATGGGGCAGGACCACCTTCTGCCCCAGCCCTAGCTGTGGGAGCCATCTGCCTGCACCTGGCACCTTGTGGGCGGGGCTCTAGCCATACCTGCGTGGAGGTGAAGGGAGCTGTAAGGAGGGCCCCTGTGACCCAGAATGCCAGACAGCTGCTCTGAGCCCTGTCGTGGCCAGAGCCCATGCCTGGGCCCCCCAGGGCTGCAGTGGCCCCTCTCCTTGGAGGCCCCTCCCATCTTGGGCAGTGAAGGCCCAGCCCTCCTGGGCAGCAGCCACTCCCATTGGCCCCCCACAGCTGCTGCCACACCCAGACCAGGCTCCAGAGCACAGCCCATGGGCGGATGAGGGCTGAGCTGGGGGGACTGGAAGCTGGAGGTGGGGTGGTCTGTGGCAGGGGTTTTCAGTTGAGCCACATGCACGACACCAGGGAGGCTGAGGTAGAAGGCACGTGGTGATTTAATTGAAAGGGAGCGACCAGCTCCCCTGTGCTGACACTGAAGATGACCTCCGGAGGGGGAGAGTTTGCGGTGGGTCTAACAGAGGCGGGAGCCTTCCCCGGAGTGTGTGCTGGGTTCTGCAGGCTGCTTCCCGGTGGAGGGCCGGCCTGGCAGTGATTCAGACCAGGCCCCCAGGGAGACAGCCCAGGAGGGCCCAGGAGAGGCTCTGCAGGTTGGGATTGGCACCACTCGGCAGCCCAGGACTAGAGGCCGGAGAGCCCTGCTCTGAGGCTTGGGCAGGGATCCCGGGACCCTAGTGATCAGATAGGAAGCTGTGACTCGGAACCACCTGCCCCAGTCCTGGCCCCAGCCGGGCTGAGCGTCCAGGGCCCGAGAAACAGGCTGTTACGTGCAAGTCGAACCACTGCTTCAGGAAGTAACCAGGCTGCTCGGGAGGGGCTGCACTTTTCGTTTCCTGGGTGGTGGGGACAGAGGAAGGCCTGTAAGGGCTGTGCATTTTCCTGTTCCAGGGCCGGGGTGTCACGGGCATGGGACCCAGGTCAACCAGGCTACGTACCTGGGAAAACTCAGCTCGACGTGCTCCCCATCTCCCTGTCTTCTCAGGCCTCCATGTCCCATTTCTGCCTCTGATTGCAGGGCCCCCATGTCCCATTTCTGCTTCGTCCTGGGTCAGCCCCCAGGAAGACGTACTCCCAGAGGTTTTCAGAAACAGCGGCCCCGCCCACTGCGTCCTGCCCGGGCTAAGGCAGGAGGGTCTGGCTGGCAGTGTGCTCTCGGCCTTTCCAGGAATGGCCTCGATGCCCGATTGGAATGATCCAGAGGTAGAATCGGGGCTGATGGCTGCCAAGGACGACAAGACGACATGAAGCCAGGGTCTGGAAGAGCAGGTTGCACTGGGCGAGAGAGGGACACGGCCCAGGGGAGGGCTCTGTGCAGGGCACTGCTGCCACCTCGGAGTCCCCCCCCGCCCGTCCTCGTCAACAAACTCAGCCAGAAATGGCCGTGGGTGCCTCCTAGTTGCCCTGATGGTTACCGGAGGCCGTGGTCAGGCAGCTCCTGGCCAGGGGCCGGGCTCGGAGAAGTATCTTGTTTCCCCGACGCTCCCCTCTCCCTGCTTTCCTGGTCCACTGTGTTCCTAAGTCAGGGGTGGCTGGGGGGCACCAGGCAGGTCTGAGAAAAGGGATTTGTCCGCCTGGTGAGTGGTTGGGCAAGAGCCCAGTGGGATGTGTTATTTCCTTACTATTTAAACAAAACCCTCGGTGTGTGAATCACTAAGGCAGCTGCCCACCTGGAGCTGAGAGGGGACTCCATGGCCCATTACCCGAGGGGGCTGCCACTCCCCAGGACCCTGTGTCCACACTTTGAATAGCACTGGGCTGGGTATTTTTTTATGTTCTTAGGACATTGGGACGCCTTCACCACACGGTGGGGGGTGGGGGGACGCGACTTTGCACGGTGAGGACAGGGACACGCTGCCTGACCGCGGGCTTCTGTTCCAGGTGTCCCCCTGCGAGAGGTGCCGCTGCGAGGCCAACGGGGAGGTGCTGTGCTCCGTGTCCGCGTGTCCCCAGACAGAGTGCGTGGACCCCGTGTACGAGCCCGACCAGTGCTGCCCCATCTGCAAAAATGGTACGTGGGACGACAGCCAGGCAGGGTGCGCCTCCCCCTCCCCCAGGACGAGCCCTCCAACTGCTGCGGGCACCTGAAAGATGAGTGGGTGTGTGAGCTGGGCTGTGGGCCTGCACACACCGTTGTGTGTGGGTGTGGCCGCAGGGCGCCCAACGACTGTGAGGCTGGTGTCCTCAGGTTGGTGTTTCTTGGGGAGGAAGTTCTCTGGGGAGAAATTCAGTTTCCACTGTTGAGGACTGTTGCTTATTTCAATTTAACTGTGTTTGTTCTTGCGAAGCAGCTCTTCTCTTTCCAAGACACATCAGCCGTGCGGGTTGGGTTCATTTACTTTTCATTACGAAGCAAATTAAAACTTGAAACGTAATTGAATATTCTTCATAAGCAAATGAGGCAGGAAGAGCGCCTCCTCCCACTTCCAGGGAGAGCCCGGGGTAGATCAAAGCTGCGTCTGCTTTGTGAGCAGGGCTGGCAGGATGTCCTTGACCACGATTTACAAAGGCGAGCCTTTCCACATCTGAATAATGAGAATTGCCCCTTTTATCTGAAGCGCAGAGTGCCTTCTGGGCTTCACACTTTAAGGGGATCTTTGACAAGCTTGGGTTCCCCGGGAGAATGGGCTCAGGAGCAAAGGTTTGGGAGGGCAGTTTGGGAAAGCCCTTGGGTGCACCTTCGGAAAGAGCTGACTTCAGGGACACCGACCAGGTCTTCAAGTAGGTGAGTGTCTTTCCTAGTGAGAGGGACGGGCTGGCTTTGTACGGCCCAGGGCCTGGTGCTGGGACTGGGCAGGAGCCACAGGTTGGCTCAGGGAGATGCAAGCAGTTGTGCAGCCTGAGCCTCTCAGAGACAGGGCAGGCTGACCTGCGGGCTCTGCGGCTCCTCATGGGCGGGGCTGCCAGCCCAGTGTGGGTGGCTCTGTGTTGTGAACTTTGGAAGTGGCAGATGGTCACCCAGGGCTGTTAGGAGTGTCCAAGACAATGCAGACGTTCTGCACTTGAGCCAATTAAACTGGCACAAGTGGTGGGCAGCACAGGTGCCTCTCCCGGGGTAGGGGGGCCAGGCGTCCCCACAGAAGCTGCCCAGAGCTCCTCTGGGGGCTGGCTGCTCCTCTGGGAGTGCCAGGGAGGGTAGGGACACCGGGAGGTGCGGCCCCGGTACGTCAGCATGGACCAGGCCCTTCAAAACAGCCACAGCCCTGGCTCAGCCTGGCCGGCCTCCAGGCACTTTGCACGGGTGTTGGGACGGACTGACGGCAGGAGAAGGACTTGGGTTCGGGAAGGAGATGCGTGCGGCGGCTGGCGGTGTCTCGCTGGGGCTGGGGTGGGCAAGCCCGCTGAGGAGCCCCGAGGTGCTGTGGCCTGTGCACAGCATACAGTGACAGCATATAGTGGGCGGAGCACCCTGCCAGTGCGGGTGGACAGAGGAGCTGTCAGTAAGTCCAAGGGCATTCAGTGAGTGGCTTCGCTACAGGATGATCCCTCGTAGGGCATCTTCAGGGTCCGGTCCACTGTGTGTCCTCCCATCCATCAGGGTGAGAAACTGCGCTTTGGCACTCGACAGGCAGGGAGTCCTCCTTCAGATGTTTACAAAGACCAGGCGACAGGACCTCACTCCCTGGGGGGGCGGTTTCAGCCCGAAATTCTACAGCAGTGTCAGGGCTGCGGAGGAGCTGAAGGAGCTGTTCCATGAACAGCTGAGTGCCCTTCACTGTGCTCGCCTGTGGCTGGCGTCCGCGTCACCTCTTTTGCTCTCTGTCCCCCGTGTCTCCCTGTGTCTCCCCGTCCCCGTCATAACTGGTACCACCTTTGTGCCCACTCATTGTCTCCCACAAATCTCGCCGTCTATGTACACCACCTGCACGACACCCGCCGAGAGAGTCTGAGACTTCTCCACACTCCCGTTTGCTCTTTGGATGGAGTCCTCTTAGGGTCTAGAGTCAGGAAGCTGTGTTCAGAAATTATTGGAATTCTTTCCTTTCCAAGATTTTATTTATTATTTTTAGAGATGGGAAGGGAGGGGAAAAGAGAGAAAGAGAAACATCAATGTGTGGTTGCCTCTCAAGCACCCCCTACTGGGGACCTAGCCCACCACCCAGGCATGTGCCCTGACTGGGAATCGAACCAGCGACCCTTTGGTTCACAGGCCAGTGCTCAATCCACTGAGCCACACCAGTCAAGGGCTGGAATTAATTCCTTATCATACGTGGTTAGGCTAACATTTTGTATGGACTTAAACTCATGTGTTTCCATTTGTGCTCAATTTATGTCATGAAGATGTAATTTTTTGAATAAGCAAAACACGTTGGAAAGTGCCATTTGTATGAATAAGGTCTACTCTGAAACTGGCAGGACTTTTACACCAGACAGTGCTGGTTTGGAGAGGGAGGAAGTAGTTGTTGCCCGGACAGCGAACTTCCAGAGGCTCTCCGGTGGCTGCTGTGCTTTGAAGACAAGCAGGGGGCGAAGGAAAGTAGGGTCGGGCAGCTTGTTGGGAGGATGGGGCCCCGGCGAGTTGGTTCAGTGGACTAAGTGCCAGCCTGAGAAATATAAGGTCGCCACTTCGATTCCCAGTCAGGGCTTGCAGGCCAGGCCCCCCAGTAGGGGGCGTGCGAGAGGTAACCACACGTTGATGTTTCTCTCCCTCTCTTTCTTCCTCCCTTCCTCTCTCTCTAGAAATAAACAAATAAAATTTTAAAGGAGAAGGATGGGTAGTTTGTTTTTTTTTAAACTGGATTCAAGAACTACAGATTACAGAAGGATTTGTATTATAAGGATTTGATCTGATGATATCAAAGTATCAATAACCTCCAATGTTCAGGACTACAACTGGGAACAAACCTCAGTGTGTCTAATCACGTCGGTCCTGTTAAGACTCCTGAGAACGTGCCCAGCAGAGAGCCTTCGGCTCCAGCCGCCTCGAGTTACCGACTATTCTGACCTTGAAGGGGCAAATGGCATTTGGAATTCTCAGTAAAATATCTGCTTGAAAAACAAAAACAGCTTCTGTCAGCATCAAATGCTCTGCAGTAATTGACCAAACAATTTATGGCAGTTCAACCATGCCCCTCACACACACACACACACACATGTTTTCATAAAAAAAATTACATGTTTGATAGATCACAGACTTTAAGACATCCAAAATGGTGGCTAGTATGAAATTAAATGCTCGGGCAGGCTGCACGTGGATGGACTGTGAAGGTTTTTAACTGCTGACCTCAGGGGACTGGCCCTGACCCCCACACTCGGAGCTCCTGACCTGCGGCGTTAAGTAGCCCCTGCTCCCGACAGGAGCAGAATTGCCGCTCGGTTGCAGGCTGCCAAAGTCACTTAGCTCAAAGCAGCCAAAGTTGGAGCCCAAGAATGCCTGGAATATAAATGAATTCACAAACAAAACACAACTTAATATATTCACTTCGTTGACTTGTACAGCTTGATCTCACCCCGATTCTCCTTTGATAAGAAGGATGTTGGGGGGCGCTGCCTTTGTTTTCTGTTATTTTTCTCAATTATAGGAACAGTGGGTATTATACTGACTTGCCAGGTTTCAGGTTCTCTCTGGTAATGGGCACAGCACAGAGGGGAACTTCGCCTCGGCCTCCCCCCCTCGCCCCTGCCCCCGCCCCTTCAGTGCCCTGCGAGCAGGAGAGGGCAAGTCTTCATTCTGCAAGAGTGCACGGTGCCGCTGGCTGTCTGCTTGTGGGGAAGGCGCCGGGGGCGGGGCGCGCTGCGGGACTGGACCTGGGCTGGGCTCAGATCCTCTACGGGGACCAGCAGGAGGAAATCGCTGAGGTTCACAGCGGTCCCCGGGCTCCCTGACGACAAACACTGTGCGTCCCCCTCCAGTACCAGTGCTGCTCAGTGGCCACTAGTCTCGGCTTCATTTCCATGGGAAATGAGCATGGCCGTGTTGTTGGAGGAGAGTGAAAAATATTCTCATGTTTTAGAGAAAAATACTGAGAACCCAAACATTAGAAGTAACTGTGCAGCCAGTGTGTGAGAAGTACCAGACAGGGTTGCTTATTTTTCTTTCAAAAAATAGGATAAGATGATAATTAAATCACAAGCAGTGGACAGAAAGGAGCGGGGCCTGTATATCTGTTTGAGTGTGTGTGTGTGTGCGCGCGCGCGTGCACATGTGTGGATAACACAGAGACCCTGTTCACTAGGGAAGGCCGACTCCTGTGGGGTCTTTCCGAAATCGGAGTTGCTGTTCATCAGGCCACACTGCTGAGCTGGTGCACAGCAGCCCATGTACTCGGATGACCTTCTTTCGGAGCCTGCAGATGAAGGAGGGATTCTGGGGGCCCCACCTGCTGTCAGCTAGAGGCTCAGGACACTTTCCGCTGCCAGCACTTCAACTTGTGATTCTGAAAAGTGATGCCCACTGGCAGGTGTCCTTTTCAGGAAGCCCTGAATTTGTACCACGCACACCACCGAGGTCTGCCCAGCTGTGGTCTGCTGATGGAGGCTGTGGCCACACTTGTCCTCGGGAAGACGACCTATCCATGCTCCTTGGCTGTCACCCGTCTGCTCGTGACAGCATGCAGCAGTGCAGAGGTCTGCAGTCTGGGTCCTGTCCTCAGCCACGGGGAAGGCAGTCATCACACAAAGCAATAGCTGCTCATCCCAGCTCGGGCAGATGTCTTCACCGCGTCCACACTGTGATCCATGGGGCCATTACCCAAGGTGCCTTGAGTTGCATCCAAAACCCTCAGAAAGGATGCCTTCCGGAGAAATGAGCTGTCAGCAGAAGACACCTGAAGAAAGATGCCTGTGCCCTTGACTCCCCCAATCTATCCCAATCCTGGGAGAACCAGCCAATGAATGTTCTTAGCCAGGACTTCCAGTGGCTGTGTCCCAGGAATGGAAAACGCCCTCTCTGCTGGTCTGAAGATGCATTCTGCTCACGGCAAACCCCAGACCTTGTGGTTGCCTTTCAGGAAGATGAACTGCAGGTAAAGAAGAGCCATCACCCCAGGAGGTGTCCACACAGCGCCACTT